AATTTGGAGGACATGACAGTTTGTATATATTTCCAGGGTTTTAAATAGTGTTTGACTACAACCTTTGTGATTTTTTAATGTTTTTTCTATGCAGGACAGGGGAAAGAGTACCACTACATTGTGTCGATAGGCATCCCAATCAACAACATATTGTTGCTACAGGTAGTCAAGATGGAATGTTGAGTATTTGGGATGTAAGACAAGGCAGCATGCCAGTTTCCTTACTAAATGCTCATCAAGCAGAATGTAAGTGCCTAAACAAATAGGATCACAATTCTAATGTAGTAGTAACAACTAGGAGAACAATCTTTCATCACCAGTGCTTGAAAAAAAATATCTTGTTTACCGCCCTTCTCACTACAAGGCAACTCTGGAGAAGCTTACATTAAAAGCACTAAAACTGTGTGTGTGTGCATACATACACGCTAAGAATAAAAAATTATGATTAAAAGATGGGAGTGAGCAGAATGCACAGCGGGTAGGTGGGTTCTACTTTTAGTCCATTGGAGCCCCGGCCAACTGGCAGAGCCCCGTTTTCAGGCTCTTATGGATGGTTAAGAGGGTGAATATAGACTTGGGGCAAGATGTTCCAAAGAACTGGTGCTATAGCAAAGAAGGCTCTTATGGACTCTGCCAGCCAGAAATCCTTGACAGACGGGACCAATAGCATGCCTTCTCTGCTGACATGGGTGGGGTGGATTTGTCACATTGGGATGAGATGATTTCTCCAGTAACTTGGTCCCATGCCATGCAGGGATTCAAAATTAACAATTCATACCTTGTATTGCACCTGGGAGGAAACTGGCAGTCAGTGTTGTTCACAAACAATGGTAACATGGGCCAGTCTAGGGGCCACAAAGATTGCTCATGCTGTTGCAGTTTACACAGGTTAAAGCTTCAGAATACTCTTCAAGGGTACCCTGATGTGATTGCAGTAGTCCAAGAGTTAGACAATCAGGAGTTCAGTGACTGAGTGCAGGGACTCCTGATCCAGGAAAGTCCACAACAAAGTTGTAGAAAGGCTGCAATTGCCATCTGCTCTTCGAACAGGAGTTGTGAGTCCAGGAGAACCCCCAAGTGGCAAACAAGATCTATCTGGGGTATGACCGCATCCTGAACTAAAGATGTCAAAGTCCCAGATCTTGAATCTTCTTGCACCCAAAGCTATTCTGTCTTGCCAGGATTCAGCCATAGACTATTTTGTCCTTTTTACCATGGACCATGATATTGAAGACTGCTGAGGGGTTAAGGAGAGTAAGGATGATTGCCCTACCCCCATCCCACTGTCGTTACTCTCTTCCCACCAGTGCTGTTTCTGTTGTTTCTTGAGCTTTTCCCAGAAAAGCTCAAGTGAATAGTGTATATACTGGGCAGAATCCACTGGATGAAAAAGTCAGAAAAAAGACAAAGAATTGGGATTCAGATTTAATCCGATTATGGCTAGGTTCACAAATGTGCTTTGATGGCTTATTTAGAATTTTAATTCCAAGGTGGTCAAAAATTGCTGATTTAGTTGGCATACTGACCTGAGTCCTGGTTTGTTTAAACCCATTTAAATGTGGTTTATTTAACAATCTGTTAAGGACTACACCAAACAAATCAGTACCATATTTGGAAGTGATTGTTATTCTTAGTCTAAAGCAGGGATCCCCAACTCCCTGGCCACAGATCAGTACTGGTCAGTGGCTTGTTAGGAACTGGTTCATGCAAGCGGTGGGTGAGCACGTGAAGTTTCATCTGCACATATGCAGAATCTAAGTTGTGTGTGAAACCACCCCCCCCCCCCCATCTGTGGAAGCCAGTTTTTCTTCCAAAACAGATCCCTTGTATATACTGTAAGCATTAAACAATTTCAAGATGTCCTATGCTAACATAGAATATAGAAATATGCTAATAGAATAACTTCTTGGGTGTTTCATGTGTTGCTACTTCACTTTTCTGTACAAAATTACTTTTAAACATTTGCTACCATAATGTTGAACTTTTTAAAAATGTTCTACCTTTGCATATTATATTTTGCATGTATTTACTTTTACAGTATGGGAAGTACACTTTCATCCTTCCAATCCTGATCATTTGTTCACTTGTTCAGAAGATGGATCTCTTTGGCACTGGGATGCTTCCTCTGATGTGACTGAAAGAAAATCTTTTCTTCATACAAGTAAGATTTATCCAAACTTTTGATTAATGAAATAATTCTTTCATGCTGCTTGCAGACTAGCGTAGAAATAGCAACTTTTCTGGGTCCATTGTTGGCCAGTATTGCTATAGTTAACTTAAACATCTCTTGTATTTCTAATGTAAAATGCTTTCATGTACTGTATTTTTCCATGCTGCCCACATTCACCACTACAGATTTTTGCAAGTGGAGAATAGATAAATATTAGAATAATTGCTTTTAGATTAGCAACTAGTATGGCTGTGCATTTTGTGCACACAAATTGCAGAAATTCAGATTCAAAGGGCAAATGTACGGTAATTTGAAATTTGCATCTGTTGGGAACATCTTATGTATCTTCCTGCAATTGTGCACCAATTGCGCAAACCAAGATGAGGCTGCTTGAAAATGCTATATACATACCCACTTGCTATATGCACACGCACATTTTGCAAGGAGCCCTGGCGATGCAGTAGTTAAATGTAGTATTGCAGGCAAATTCTGCCCACAGCCTGGAGTTCAATCCTGACAGGGCTCAAGGTTGACTCAGCCTTCCATCTTTTCAAGATGGGTAAAATGAGGACCCATATTGTTAGGAACAATAGGCTGACATTATAAACCACCCAGAGAGTGCTATAAAGCACTATGGTGTGGTATATAAATCTAAGTGCTATTGCTGTTTTAGCCTTCAATTCCAGATATCTACATAGTTTTAATAATAGCCTAACTTGAAAAGACAGCAAACATGATTAAAATTATTCTAGAGCAGCAAAATGTAAACTTTTTTGACAAATGGCAAACCCAAGTTATTTAACAATATGTATACGTTGATATTTGCCTTACATTTAAATAATTCTCATTTTTTTATCTGAAGATAACAAAAAATATTTCTGTGTTTTATTTTAGGCGGAAGAAATACTTCATTTCTACCTCATTCTACAGCTAATCAGTCCATAATTAGTGCATGGTTGAATAATGATCCTACTAAAGATCGCATTGAGATTACAAATTTAAGTTCAAATTCAACTTTATCGATAAACAGTTTAGATGTGTTAGGATCATTTCTTGTGTATGGAACTGACACAGAATCTATTTATGTTAAGAAGGACCTCTTTGTATAGCCTTATTTTTCCCAAAACAATGCTGTTCTGTAAATTTAGAATTTTTTTTCTAAAAACTGTAATCTATAACATTCTCTAGAATCATAGTTAAACTAGGATCAATTTGGAATACAACTGAATGTAATTCATGTTACAGCTCAAGCTTTTTAACAGTACATTTCTGTAGTTCTTCAACAGTACTGTGTTTATATTAAAATATCCATTTATGCATTGTTTATTTTAATTATTTAATTACATTGTCTTTATTTTTAAAATATTATTTCAACTATTCTCCAATACAGATGAATTAATTGCAAGTTCTTTAGTACTCATACTAAGTACGGTATTGCCAAACTAGCTTGTAGAAGTATTTCCCTTGGGATTTTTTTGTGACGTTTAAGACTGCATTTTTATTTGAAATATTTGTCACTGATACTGGAAAAAATTGAAAAAAGCAAAAAAACCCTACCCCTTATTCAATTGTCATGGTTCTCTGTTGTTTTACTGTATACAGAATAGCCCTCCACTTACAATGGCAATTAGACTGGAATGGCTGTCACTAAGCGATGTAATTGTAAAGTATAACATGTGGCAGCATTGCGTACTGATGGTAGTCCTGGTTGTCATAACCCCAGGACTGTGTGGGTTAAATAGGAACAGGTCGGAAGTACGGTGGGTGCATTTGGGGTGTTGCAGATAGGTGCTATGGAGCCTAGTGGACCAGCAGATCAGAGGTGGGTTTCAGCAGGTTCTGACCAATTCTAGAGAACCGGTAGTAAAAATTCTGACTGGCCCCACCCCCATCTATTCTGTCTCCCAAGTCCCAGCTGATTGGGAGGAAATGGGGATTTTACAGTATCCTTCCCCTGTCACGCCCACCAAGCCACGCCCACAGAACCGATAGTAAAAAGTTTTGAAACCCACCACTGCAGCAGATGCCACAGGTGGGCCAGGGGAGGGTTAACACTGGCTGCACACAGGTTGCTGCAGTCACACACAACGGAGGATTGCTTGCTACAGAATACAAGCTCATTGGGTTTTATACTCCATAACGGCTTTCTTATGAGAAAAAAGCAACAAGAATGACTTACTGGGGTGACCTGAAAGCTTTCCTGCCAGCTTCCCCCATTGACTTTGCTTGTGGGAAACCGGCAGTTAAGATCATAAATGACAATCATGTAACTATGGCTCACTAACATTCACAAGTCAAGGCACCCCAATTCATGATTATGGGAACGCTGCAATAGTCAAAACTTGTATGCTCCATCAAAAGCTGCTTTCTGTGAGATGGGTCATATAAATTTGATTAATAAAATAAACTTTGCAAGAACCAGTTGTAAGACCATCCAGTTGCAAGACCATCTTTTTCAGTGTCACCGGCTTTTCAGCGTTGGCAGCATACTTTGGGGAATAATGAAGGGAGAGTTTCCCTCTAAGAAGTGAAAGAGGTACTTAAAGAGGGGAAGGGGAAGATTCCTTAAAAATATACTGCAGGAACACACAAAAAAACGTGGCCTGGATTTAAATGGTAATTTCCTTGTTGAAACCTTGGGGATAAATTCAAAGGACAAATAAATATGCCCCAGGATTAAAAAAGGGAAGGATCTTGGAGCTAGCCATGCTTGGCCCGCCGAACAGTAAATTTGGCTCATTTCAACGTAACAATCGGCCAACCTCTCCCATAAGCAACGTCCAATCTCCGGTCCTCTTCGCTTATTCCTCTGACGGGATACACGCCGGCAGTCCCATCTTTAAAAGAGCTATTTTACAACTCGGTGAAAAGCAACAAGAAAGGAAATAAGTTTCCCCTCGACGTATCTTTTTTTTTTTTTTTTAGGACCGCGCGCTGCGCATTGTCCCGAGACGTGGTAGGTTTCATTAGCCAGAGTAGGAGATTAGGGACGCAGCACCGATGCGGGAGGACCGTAACACGCCGAGTTTATCGCATGGAGCCGAAGTACAATCCTAGCCTTTCTCCGCATTTGGCAAAGGTTTCTTAGAATTGCTATTCCCGGAGCCCTTTTCGGTCCGACGGTGCAGACGCGCCTCTCCCACGAAGCGCATCAAAGGGGGCAGAGAAAAGCCTGCAAGGCCGGCGTCCTCCAGAAGAAAGAGAGAGAGAGAGAGAGTGAAAGATCCCCTCGCCAAGCGCTGCCGGGTTCTCGCATTCCGGGCTGCGGGGTGTGGAGAGGGGGGACGAGGAGGAGGAGAAAGAAGAAGCCGGCGGAACACGCAAAGGAAGTCGGGAAAAGGTTTTATATCCGGGAATCTTGGGCGACAAACCCACCGACAAAATGGCGGCCCGGAATTGAACCCCCCTCAAAAAAAAAAAAAAAAAAGGGGGTAGAAATTGAGGGGGGAGGGGAGCCGGAACGTTTTAGGCTAAACCGCGTAACTATCGCTGGGAAATCCCGTCGTCGTGTCGTCGTCGTCATCTTCCTCCGGTTTGCTGGGCTTGAGGCGCTGTCACCACCGCCTTTCCGCCAGGCAGGTGGGTAGATGGGTTTGCTTGGGCTCCGCCTCAGGGAAAGGAAAATTGGTGGCTAGTTAATGAGGAAGGCCTCGGAGACGGGGCACGCCTTGGCCTAAGGTTTTATGACACTCCGCCGCTTTGACGGGAATCGTCCCGTCTCCTTTGTGTTTCCCACCCGCCCATCGCTCGGGTCGCCTAAGATTACTTCGTTTGAAGGTCCCCCACTTAGGTCGAGCGCCTGGCCTCTGCGTGTCTTATGCTTCCCCTCACTGCCCCTTAAGCCTAAATCGCATCTCTTGTAGGGTTTTAAAGGAGCTTTTTCTTTTTAAACGTGCACCGTTTTTCTTTATTTGCTTATTGCGGTTTATTTGGTTTTTAAACAATGGGAGGCATATCCCAATTTGGGGGAGGGGAATCATCTGATGTTCTAAGTTACAGTGAATTGTATTTTAGAGTTTTATAATTTTTTTTGTATAGTTGTCCTTAGCGTAGTAAAGATAACACGAAAAGTGTTTATTGTTTATATAAGGCTTCTGAGGTGCTTGTTTAGTTATGAATTTTACCAAATTCCAGAATTAATAGCATGTTCTTTGAATATTATAAAGGTTCAATTCTTGTCTTTATAATAAAATAGACCATTGTATCCCCTATAGAAAAAAGATGTGAAAGAAAAGGGGAAGTGAAATGAATTCAGGTATATCAGCCCTATTAAAAAGAGAATAAAAGTAACATTTACAAAACGTGGTCCTCAGTTGCTTTAGTTCATGTTATTTCTGGCTACTTAAATATGTCTAAAGAATACTAGCTTTAAAGGACATAATGATTGTTTTAGAACAGGTTTTAACAACTCTTGCAAAAGCAAACTAACAGTATTAGTTTTGTTCTCCAGATTCATAATATTCCATTGACATAAATTTTTCAACTTTTGTCATTGCTTCATATTTTCTTTTTAACAATTCAGTCTTCAGCTTATTTATTCATAAGTGCCTCATTGTATTAACTACAAATAGACTGAGAGCACAAATAGTTTTAAAAAACTAACAGATTAATGCATAATAATATATTTATGGTTCACTTCATCAGCTATATGGTTGCAGAAGATTAAATGATCATTATATGAGTTAGGCAGCCATATAAATCATGTGAATAAATAAATTAATGAATAAAATTATGTGAGATTTTCTACCAAATTATGTTTATAGGATTGTTGATTGAACTATTCTGTAGATGATGAATTATTACCATTTTGATTTTAATGCTGCCAAAGTCCAACTGACTGGGTGATTTTCAGTGCAGGTAAATAATACACAAATAACTTTGGATAGGCACAGTATGAATCGTTTATCTAATTCCAGCATGATTCAGAGTAGGAAGCACTAAGTTGTATTCAATATTGCTTACCAATTTGGAGGCAGATGTGACTTTCTTCCTTGTTTCCTATCTATTTGCTCTCTTTATATGTGGCGAGATTGCATGCTGAAACCCAGGGAGAAATTCTGTCTTCCTTCTTGCCACTACTACTCATTCCAGCCACTATTTGTTCACTCTGAAGACAAATTAATATATATTAACAAAGGAAAAGAAACAGCTGAGCATCCTATTTTTATAAAATAGAGAAAAACATGTTTTGCTAAGCAGCTTTTAGATTTACAATATATGGTACAGAGGTTTAGCTTAAAAATACAGTAATTTAATTATAGAGATGTGATGCAATAGAAAGTAAGGCCTCAGTACACCTGATATCTGAGATGTGAACTAGATGGTATTTGATATTCTGCCTGTTTCATTCTATCATTTTATTCATGTTTTTAATTAGTAATCTTCTATAAGAGTTTAGCCAATTTCAGCTAAAAATAAAAGAACTTTAAAATACTACCCGTGTTTCCCCAAAAATAAGACCCTGTCTTATATTTTTTTGAACCCCTAAATAAGCGCTTAACCTTATTGCCATGCACTCGAAAAGCCCAATTGGGCTTACTATCAGGGGATGTCTTATTTTGGGGGAAACAGGGTACGTATGTTTTTGTGAAACAAAAAGAGGTCAAAATAATCTTCATTAGAAATTTATCTGATTTATTTATGTAACCATTTAAGATAAAACTATTTCTCTTAAAGTTTTTGCATTATAATAAGATAAGGTGCATTCAAGAAAATTTTTGATATATTAAGGATTGCATTTTGAGAAAGCAGTTTTTTTATACCCTGGTTTTCAATACAATTAAGGCAGGGGTGTCAAACTCATAGCCCATGGGCTGGATGCGTCATGTGCTGGCTGTGGCCACCCCAATTTTAGCAAAGGGGAAAGTTGCGATACATCATGTGATGATGTGTCGTCACAAGTTTGACACCCCTGGATAAGGTAAAAATACTCTTATAGTTAAAACCTGAATTGACCTCTGAATCACCCCAGAGTTTTGTTACAATTTTTGATGGAGGATGGGCAGAAACATGACCATTATATTAAATCATAACTTATCTCTTTTAAGAACTTCCACTGAGTTTTTTAATTAAACTATTAGTTCATGGGAATTTCTGCAATGTAGATTTGATACATTGGGGTTTACTGGTACTTATTTATTTTTATGATCTAAATCTCCCCTTTCTGTCCATAGAGCATGCAGGAAAACTAAAAATATAAATAAAACAAACAGTTAAAATATCATAAAATTTGTTTAAACTATTAAAAATAATACAAACTGAAAACGTTTTCTCTTAAGAGAATAAGAGGTAGATAGATACATACAGACTATATATATCATTAAAGTGTCCTTACTCTCTAAGCGTAATGGTGAAGGCCTTCTCTTATATTTCTTTCAAGTAATGGAATGACTCTTTTAGGAATTATATTTTTCCCATCTCTTTTGGAAAACGAATGAAAACTTTTTTCTTTTCTCTCTTTACCTTTACCTTTAATAATAATAAATTACAATGCACTGAACTGTATTTACTGTTACAAAATTCTGATGGTTAGAAAGGAACATTTTAGCTGTTGGCACTATCTCCCAGAACTAAAATGAAAGAGTTATATCAGAAGGAGAATGCTTTCTAATATAATTGTTGCAGCTGGCTAGTAGTTAGGGATAGAGATGGATGGAAACAGAGAAACTGATTGTTGGCTTTCTAAAGTGATTAATCAAAGTAGCAGTAAAATTTATGCAATATAATTACTATGCTCGCAGTAATAAAATAAGTTGCAATTACTAATGCTTTGCTATTTAAGTTTAATTTTTATGCTATCTATTTTAAGAAACAAGCAAACAAAAGCAAACATATATTGAAATTGACAATCCCTCTAATTTGAATATTTATATAACTTTTAAGGATTAAATAAATACTTTCTTGTTTGAGTAATAGTGTGTAAAACAGAGAAGTCAAGAACTAGTTTCTTAAACATAACCAATTTCTTGCAAGAAGAGACCTGGCTTGCTAAAAGCAATCAATAGCTATGCATAAATGGATCTGACTTCTTTTGGGAATCTTTAACCAGGTATGGAAAGGTTAAAATGATATTTCAACAGAAGCAAGTGTCTAATGAATTTGGATGGGTATCTGAAGGGTGTCATCATAAGTTCGGAGACAGTCTTAATAACCAATTCTTTTATTATTCTAGATTTGGATTGTAAAAATGGGTTATTTTCTTCAGATTGTAAACACCAAATATTAAGTAGAAGGAAATTTGTTTTCATACCAAATATTCATAAGAATGTGATAAAAATAAGAGTTGAATAAAACATTTTCCAGTAATGTAACAGTGTTTTATTATTTTATTTAGAATGACTATTATTCTATTCTCTTAGACTTGAATGGATGTATGTACTACTGGAGTCAAGATCAACTGTGTTTTGAGGTTGCCATCCAACTGATTACAGTATTAAGCATATTGAAAATCTTGGTTAGAAGTTATACGAGTTCATGAAGAGAAGCGAGAAACCAGAGGGATATAGACAAATGAGGCCTAAAACATTTCCTGCCAGTAATTACACTAGCAGCAGTCGGCAGATGTTACAAGAAATACGAGAGAGCCTTAGAAATTTACCAAAGCCTTCGGATGCTGCAAAAGTTGAACAAAATATGGGAAAAATACCAACTGAAGATCCCAGACAAGGTCGAAATCCCCCTAAGTTTGTTACCTATCATAAAGCTTTGCAAGAAATTAGAAATTCTCTACTTCCTTTTGCAAATGAAACAAGTTCTTCAACCAGAGGAACATCAGAAGTTAATCGTCAGATGTTTCAAGATCTGCAAGCTGCTGGATTTGATGAGGTAAAATATAATTCCTAGTGGGATATTAAATTGGTAATAGCAGAAATATTGTGATTTATTGGGGAAGTACGTTCAAAAAATGTGTTTTGATTAGGATTCTGTTGCTTCCTGTGCACATTATTTGAATTTGCTTATTACTCCCAAGTTACATTTCTTGTTTGTCATATTCATATAGACGCCTATCTCACAGGCAAGTAACTGGATGGCATACAATAAACTCTGAGTAGACCCTTCTTGAAGAATAAATGCAACTGACACATAATACAAAGTTGAGCAAAAGTCCTTCTAGCCACTACTGCTACTTGCTCCTTGAACAGGAGTTGTGAGTTTAGAAAAATCTCCAGATTGCACACAGGGCCTGATTGGAGTAGTGTGACCTCCATCCAGTAGCAAATAAGATAGAGTCTTAGAACCTATGGGACCAAAACCCCAAGTCTTGCCAGAGTTTAATTACTGTAAAGCCTACTGTTTCCCATCAAGACCCTTACATCTTCTATGCACTCGAATAAGATGTCCATAGCATTGCTTAATTCAACAGCAGTGGAGATGTATAATTGGGTACCATCAGTGTACCGATGGTACCCAATTAGTGATGATATCTCACTCCATGGTGATAGATGAGTTCACCTAGCAGTCTTGGATAGATGTTGAATAGAGGGGGAGGAAGCTCCAACTCCTTAATATAGTAGTGTCAAAGGCAGGATCTCCCCCCACCCCAATCATGGCCAGCTGGAATTGACCACAAAGAAAGGCAAACCAGCAAAACACCTCCTCCTCTCTGTTGATCCAGAAAGATACCATGGTAAAAAGTATTGAAAACCACCCAGAGATCAATTAGCTGAACAGATTTGTATTCTGTCCTTATTTTAAAGTTACTTATGTGAATTAACAAGGATTCTTCTACTGCCACATTATGGAAGAAAACCTGTCACATAAAATTAAAATAATGAGACATCAGAAGTAGGAATCAGTTTTAGCAAATTTGAATGGATTTTATACAAATACCATAACAATATATTATAATATGGTACACTTGAGATATACAGTAAATTTCTACATCTGGAGCATTTATTTACATTATAAATAGATATAGAAATAGAACACATGTAGTAGAATACATATTGCAGTAGTTTTTTCTTGTATTTTCTATATCTTTTTTATTTGCTTCTTGGATTTATGTTAATGTAGTTACCTGATATTGTTTGTTAATCGGCATTTAATAAAAATTGTGGAGAAAAACTGTCTCAAATATGTTAATAGGATTTGCTTTTGGGGGTGCAAGGTGGAAGTAAAGCACCTGATCTTGGAGTTTAGAAAAAAATGTTTTTCTGTATAATTTGAAATTCACCCCAGCATGCTAATGTCATCTTGTTTTGTAATGACCACATTTCCAATGCCATTGATGCTCAGATTATATCAATATTGCATTGTTAGGAATAATAGCACTAAGTCTTTACATTTTCAATCTAATATTAAATACAGTGTTTTTGACATTTTTTTGTTATGAATGATTAAGTATCTTATTGGGAAATTGTTTTTTGTATACTCTTCCCATCAATAGGATATGGTTGTGCAAGCTCTAAGACAAACCAATAGCCGCAGCATAGAAGCAGCCATTGAATTTATAAGTAAAATGAGTTATCAAGATTCTCGTCGAGAACAAATGGCAGCAGCTGCATCTAGACCCCTTACTGCTGGCCCCAAGCCCCCAGGTATGCACATCCATATATACCCTTGGGAAGGAGAAATGGAAATTGTATGTTTTCAAAACTGATGAGAAATAATTTGAAATAAGAGATACTGACTGAAAAATAAACAGTGTTTTTAACATTTGTAGTTAAAATGAAGTTTTTAGTTGCAACGTCATTGGCAAATATAGTATACTGAAGGGTGAACACCAGCAGGATACAGTAGCATAAAGATATAAAGGCATGCCTCTGCCTTGTTCTTTACTCTTCATTTAACCTCTGTTTCTCATTATTTATGTAAAAGAGGTAGAAAAAAGGCAGAAAGGTGAGAAGATTGCCAAAGATATTGTGTGGGCAAGCTCCACAATTAAAGGCCAGTGGCACATATATATTAACATAAAAGTAAGGCCTGTTGTTTTCTTTTCCTAATTAAAAAATACTTATGGAAAAGAACCTAGAATAGAGGAGAAAAGAGGCACTTCTTTATTCAAGCTGTATCAAAAACATGCTTATCTGAATGTACTAATGAATTTTTTAAAAAAGCAATTTGAAAAGGGCCAATTTGCCACAAAGAATTAATAGGAGGAAGACAATTAACAGAATCCTTTTGGAGCTTTTTTACTGCAAAAACTATTTAGGGTCAATGTTACAGTCCTCTATCCAGATCATTTAGGAGTACCACAGGATGTCTGGGTCCAGGGACTTTACATTGTCATATGAGTACAGGTAGTCTTTGACTTATGACCACAATTGAACCCAAAATTTCTCTTGTTAACCAAGACACTTGTTAAGTGAATTTTGCCCCATTTTACAATCTTTCTTGCTACATCTGTTATTTGAATCACTGTAGTTACTAAGTTAGTAACACGGTAGTTAAGTGAAACTTAATTTTGCTTAATCAATGCTGACAAGCATTGATATTACTTATCAGAAGGCCACAAAAGGCGGTCACATGACCTCAGGACATTACAACCATCATAAACACAAGCCAGTTGCCAAGTGTCCAAATTTTGATCACATGATGAGAATGCTGCAACGATTGTAAATGTAAAAATGGTCATAAGTCACTTTTTTCAGTGCTGTTGTAATTTCAAACCAGCACTAAACAAATGGTTGTCAGTCAAGGACTACCTATATGCACTTAGATTAATTGTTTCAAAAGTTAATTAGTCTGTATCCTTTTTTGTAATAAATTCATATGAAATTTGATTTAAATTGTTTCTCATCTTATTTTTATATCAGTTCATTCTGGTGTGTTTTTATGTCAGAAATGCTTGCTTCCAATCTTTTATATAATAACTATTCCAGAATTTTAAAATGAGTAGTAAAAAAATTGTCTTTTTACTTTTTTAAAAAAGCAGGAGGAACAGTACAGCAGTCAGTTATCCGTAGACAAAGCTGGAAAGGTTCTAAAGAATCTTTGGTACCCCAGAGACATGCTTCTGCACTGGGAGATGGCCTTACTTTTCATTCAGAAAGCCCTATTTCTCAGGGTGAAGTAGGAAGACCATTATCTGGATCTGGAATAGCTGCATTTGCTCAGGCTCACCCTGGTAATGGACAAAGAGTGAACCCACCACCTCCACCTCAAGTCAGAAGTGTTACTCCACCACCACCCCCTCCCAGAGGAACACCACCTCCTTCCTGGGAAGCAAATTCTCAAACAAAACGGTATTCGGGGAACATGGAATATATGATATCTCGCATTTCTCCAGTGCCTCCAGGATCATGGCAGGATGGTTATCCTCCCCAAACTATGAATTCGTCATCTATGAATCCTTCTGTGCAGGGACAAAGAGGTATTAGTTCGGTTCCTGTTGGTAGACAACCAATAATCATGCAAAGTTCAGTTAATAGCAAATTTAGCTTTTCATCGGGAAGGAGTGGAATACAAAATGGCAATTGTCAGGCTGAATATATTGTTCATCAAAATATTGTGCCTGGTAACTCAGCAAGTCGCCAACCACCTCCTCCTTATCCAATATCTCCAACAAGCCGACAAAGTCCTACACCTTTGCAGATGCAAACAGGAGGTCCTGCTCCCCTTTCAGCATATCCTAATGGGAACATTTCTCAATCTATGATGGTGCCAAATAGAAACAGCCATAATATGGAATTATATAACATAAATGTTCCAGGAATTCCAACAACCTGGTCACAATCATCCTCTGGAAATGGACATGACATCCCAGTATGGCAATCCAATATTCCAGTAAGGTCAAATTCTTTCAATAATCATGTTGGAAACAGACAAAACCATACTGCGAATTCACAATCTTCTGCTACAACAGTTACAGCCGTTACTCCAGCTCCTATACAGCAGCCAGTAAAAAGTATGCGTGTATTGAAACCAGAACTGCAAACTGCCTTAGCTCCTACTCACCCTTCTTGGATTTCTCAACCAATGCAAACGGTCCAGTCCACGTCCTTTTCTGAGGGACCATGTACAATTGTGCCAGTCATTTCACCTGCAGCAGAAGGTGGAAATTATCAAGGGCCACCCCCTCCTTATCCAAAGCATTTATTACATCCAAATCTATCTGCAACCCCATATGAAGCTATGACAAAGCCTGGCAAAGAAGATCAGCCTGGGTTTCCTAAAGAAGAGGATGCTGAAAAGAATGAGAACAGTGAGACAATCGATAGAGAGAAGAAGCAAATAACAACTTCCCCTGTTCCTGTTAGGAAGAATAAAAGAGATGAAGAACGGAGGGAATCCCGCATTCAAAGCTATTCTCCTCAAGCATTTAAATTCTTTATGGAGCAGCATGTTGAAAACATACTCAAATCTCATCAACAGCGACTGCATCGTAAGAAACAGCTTGAAAATGAAATGATGAGGGTAATTTTAAAAATTATTTCTATTTAAGTTTTGATTTGCATGGAATATACTTTGAAATTGTAATATTACCATTGCCTTAGACCTAATCAGTAATTGCTCAGGATGTGATAGCAGGTTAAAGACTGGAAAGGTGACAGCTCAGGTTCAAGACCTGAGCGCTGTGTGATGGGGTGAACTCTCATTAGTTGCCTCGGCTCCTGCAGTCCAAAAGGATGCAAATGCGAGTAGATAAATAGGTACTACTTTGATGGTAAGGTAAAAGCATTCCGTGAACCTTGGCATATAGTCATGCTGGCCACATGACCATGGAAATGTCTATGGACAATACTGGCTCCCTCAGCTAAGAAATGAAGATGAGCATTGCCTCCTAGAGTCCGACATGACTGGATAGGGGAAACCTTTACCTTTACTAAAATGGTAATAGTTTACCAATTTTTATAGTGCAATCCTATTCAGGTTAGTCAGATTAAGTTCTTAAATATCTTTAGGACTGTGTGATTGATTGCATTATAGTCCAAGAAATTGTAAACATAAAACAGCCTAACAGGAAGCAGAAACAAATCAGCCATTAAAAAACAAATCACTAAATGCATTTCATTTTTATTTTATTGCTCATAACAGAAAGTGTTTATGGGAGTGTGGATGGGGAGATAGATAACCATATTTAGACATCACCGAGAACATAGAACAGAAGTGCATCAGAAATTGGCTGCTCCGATAAAACTGGGCCAGGAAGATTAAGGATTTAATACCCAAGCACTGCCATGGGCCTGGCACCACCAGAAAGTGCTTCCCAAATCTGATACTTGCAACTAATTGTCTGTGCACATAAGTTGTCCTGATTCAAATAAAAACTGCTATGAACAGGCACAGTCTATAATATAGTTATAGATAAAGTTTAATAAAACTGGGAGTTTGTGGGACCTTGTACATATTCGGTAGTTAAATAGAAAAGGTATTTTGCTTGATTTCACTATAAATAAGGGTATGTTTAGTGTTGTTTGTTATAATATAGAATGACTCTTGTTGGATATTTTTAAAAAAGATTTAACAATTGATTTTCCAATAAAAATAAGCTGCTTCAAAATTCTTACCTTTTACACGTTGGAAATGTAGTGAAATTGCCTCTATTTTTTGAATGCACTAGAATTTCATTTCAACCTCAATTATTTTTTATTTATATTATATATCTGCTGGGTTTGAAGTTCTCATGTCATCTGTAGAAGTGCCATTTTAAGTATTTTCAAAAATTCTTTGGTAAATTTCATCCTTATGAATAGGAAGCTAGCTGATGTCTGAGTTAGTTAAATTTCTTGTTCTTTCTACATGTTCATTCTTAGTCTCTTTCCTTTTCACTTTCACTAACAGCTGGTTTAAACTATTAAGGTGTTGGAAGCTTTCCTGACATCTGTAGCCTTCGTTACTGGGTAGGCAAGTAATATTTTGGAGACAAGTATTCTATTTAAAGAATAGCATGGATCCTTTCTTATGGGACTCTGCATGCTTACATGCATTTAAATTAAGCATGCTTTGTTTCACTGTACTTGAATGTATTTATATTAGATCACTAATATTGTATACCATATTTATTTTTATGTTCTACAGTCGCACAAGGACAACGATACATATCCACTTTTTTATTTAGTTTACATTGTTCAAAGTGGCTGAATTGTTTAGTACTGTACTCATTCTGCCAGATATTTGTTTATGTAGATGTTTATTTTAAGATTGTGTTAAATGTAATTAAAAATAAGATTTTTGAATGAAAGCTAGAAGCTGGAAAACCATATGGGAAGAATTTAAGTGCATTTTTCTAGTAAATAGATAGTATATGTCTGGCCTAACTGACAATGTAAAAATATTTGTTGGAATGTCAGTCAAAGCATCACTTTGTGACTTTTAAGAATAATAGAATCTTCTAATTAGTTTATCTAGTTTCATTGATGGAATTTCATGCTAAAAAGTTGTCCTTGAATTTCGAGCCTTATTGTGCATGGCTCTTGTGTATGATTGTTTATAATATCTCATTTTAACATTTTGTTGTATATTGTTCTGAAGTGTTTTGTTTCCTAATATGTTGCAATAAAATAAACTGAAATAATAAAATGGGAGTATTATTCCCTAAGGACCAATATGGTTTACTTTTCTTAAATTGTTTTTTTTTCACTATCTTTTTTTTTTTTTTTTTACATTTGTTGCATAGGTTGGGTTATCCCAAGAGGCCCAAGATCAAATGAGGAAAATGCTTTGCCAAAAGGAGTCCAACTACATCCGTCTCAAAAGAGCTAAAATGGATAAATCAATGTTTGTTAAAATTAAGACTCTTGGAATTGGGGCATTTGGAGAAGTCTGTTTGGCCAGAAAGGTAGATACAAATGCCTTATATGCAAAAAAAACACTTCGAAAAAAGGATGTACTACTTCGAAACCAGGTTGCTCATGTTAAGGCTGAACGGGATATTCTTGCAGAGGCTGATAATGAATGGGTAGTTCGTCTGTACTATTCGTTCCAAGATAAGGACAATTTGTACTTTATAATGGACTATATTCCAGGAGGAGACATGATGAGTTTATTAATTCGAATGGGAGTCTTTCCCGAAAATATGGCTCGATTCTACATAGCAGAACTGACCTGTGCTGTTGAAAGTGTTCACAAGATGGGCTTCATTCATAGAGACATAAAACCTGATAACATTTTGATTGATCGTGACGGCCATATCAAATTGACAGACTTTGGACTTTGTACTGGCTTTCGGTGGACACACGATTCCAAATACTATCAGAGTGGTAAGGCAAGCAGTTTATCTCAAAATTGTCTTTATGTGTTAGATTATTATCACACAGAACAACAAGATGTTGGTTTGTATTATATTTTCTACCAGATGATTTGGCTGGATATCATAACATGCTGTTAAGTAATTATAAATGTAGTTATTCATAGGAAACTCTTTGTAAGTGAATTTGGAATTAGAATCTTCCAGAGCAGCAGCAGCATGATAAAATCCTTTTTCAAAACATATTGAATATTGCTTTTTTAAAAAATCACATGAGATATCTTTAGTACAAACTAGTAAATAAGACATCTTAACTTCCACCATACCATTGCAAACTTCATACAAAAATAGTCAAAAGAATATTACACTGAGAATAGAAAGAAACTGTGTATTTGTATGATCATATTTTAAAACATTATAATTTCCGAAAATCAGCTAGTTTAGTGCATGTTTGAATATATTTAATTTCAGGCTTTTTGCCAACAATAACTAGAATTATAATAGTACAGGTGGGGGTTTCTTTCCCATCAAAATTAAAACATTAGTAACTATCTTTTGAAACTTAAAAATTATTCTCCTATTATAAATTATATAACTTTGTCTACTTAATTCTTAAATACTGAAAGTTTGCATAAGAAAACATAGAGAACTTCTTTTCCTGTTTTTAAAAGTTGCAAAATCTAATGGAGAAATTATTTTGTTGAAAGTAAGGAATAGAAAGGTGGAAAAGGATATATAGTCTCATATTTTGTCTTTCAATGTCTCTTTATGTTATACAGAACATTAAAAAAGTCCGGAAGAAAACCAGGGTTATTCAAAAATAAGGATGTGATTTCTACATCTACTGGGCACTCACTCATGGCTACCAGATCTGAATTGCAAAAAGATCCAGACAACCCCTAGAAATCAGGAAAAAGAAACTGAAAACACTCTTAATTTTTCCTACCATCTACTTGCCATTTTACAACTGGTAGCCCTTGACCTGATTGGTGTCTAGATTGGTGTCTAGATCATAGATTGGTGTCTAGATTGGTGTCTAGATCATAGAATTAAAATAATTTGAAAAGGCTAACTAAATCTGGCATTGACAACCTGTGAGCCTTCAACTTCCAAAAAGTCAAAATTAGAATTAAGAAAATTACAAGGATTTTTAAAGTATATTAAGAGAAAACTTCCAGGTTTATGTTGGAGACTATGAATAGAAATTTAAGGATTGTTGAATGTCTTTTATTTAGTCAGTTACAAATACTCTTGTGTCATTATTATTATTATTAATTTTGCCTTTTCCTGGCTAGGTAGTTCTTTCTTTGACCTTAAGGTGAGAGAAAAAGAATCCAGATGATACCTAATAAATTTTAAAAATCTAGTATTGCCTGGGAATTGGAGGAGGCTTTCTACTTATGGGAAGTTTCTGCTAGGAGGCAATTTCTCTTCTTATTTTGCTCCTCTTTTTTTTACATTGCTTTAATGTAAAGAAAAGAAAAACAAAAATCTACAGTATCACATTAGTAATGTTCCTTTACCCATTTTATTCTTATAACCTAATGAAACTAACAGTCGCCACTTTTTTAAACATTCACTGATAAATAGAAAATTGTACCACTTTAAAATGATAGAAAATGTTCTTTAAAGTTTTCTATAGCTATCATCTTAAATTAGCTATTGATTTGCTAATATTTAATTTTTTTATTCCATAGTTCTTGTAAAGAACAGCTATCTACCAACAATATTTTTCAATTGATTAAAAGACAGCTAGAATAATCCAAAGCATGTTCTAGTGCTTATAATAATTAGGAAAGTTTAGATACTATTAATATAGATAAACTCAATTGAAGTTTTAATTAAATATATTGCCATTTTGAAATGTTAGGCAATTGAAATGCCACTTAAATAATTCAGGCGGTTTTTGATTGGCAATAATTGGTAAATATCTGGTCTCCATTATCAGCTATTTTCAGACTTGTCCCAAAGTATATCATGTAAATACAGATCATCATACTAACATCCCAACATCATACTTCCATATATGCCTTGCAGTCTTTAATGCCTAAAATACAATAGGCTTTGCTAAAAAAAATAAATCCAATCTCCTAGTATCAGAAGGGTGATTTTCTAATTGTGCCCATAATATTTTTTTTTTGCTTGATCATTAACATTTCATAAAGGAACTAAGGTCAGAATATATGCTAAATGATAAAACTTTTTTGTAATAATTAATTAATTGATTAGACTTATGACCATATCAGAGAAAATAAAAGTAAAATACAGGATCTAATTTCAGGATAAAATAAATAAAAGAAAATACCGTAATAAAATAATAAAATATATATGTGGTAAATACAGGGAATCAGCATTCAGATAAATATATCACCTTTATGTGATAATCCAGTCTGTTCATTATAATTAGCTGAGCTGTCTTAACTATAAACTTAGCAGTTCTGCTCACAGTGTATACAGCTAGTCCTCAATTTATGTCCACAGTTGAGCCCAGAATCTCAATCATTGACCAAAGCAGGTGTTGAGGACCCAGTTTGTGGGGGCAATAAGCTGACTTTGTATAAATATACAAAAGTATGAAGGCTATTGCTTAACGCATTGTAAGCTGCCCTGAGTCTCCGGAGAACTTCCAGGGGGAGGGCCTTCTCTGTGAGGGCTCCAACCCTTTGGAATGAACTGCCCCCGGAGCTACGGAAAGCTATGTCTATATTCTTCTTGGTTATACACCGCCCTGAGTCCTACGGGAGAAAGGCAGTATAGAAATATAATAAATAAATAAATATCAAATTTTAAAAAAAGTGAGACATCACATGACTGCTTCATTTGACTGCAATTCTGGAACTCCTAGTTGTGGTTGTTAAGTGATTGTATGGGTTGGGAGAGACTCTGGGAGTCTCCAATGGATTTCCATTCAGGGCCTGAAAATCCTCCCTGCCAAAATCCAGTTGTCAGTTATGCATGTTCGTACAGATAAATAATAAATTGTAATATTTTTAATTATTGAGGCTGCATGCTCACAACATGACATTTTATTCAAGAGTTCTTCCAATTCATTATATTCTTCTTGGGTAGCTCCCAATAATTGTTTATCAAAGTAAAAATCCTCATAAATCCCCACTTGCTTTTAATCAAAGTGCTGTAATATATTGAGATGCTATACTGTAATTAGATACTTTTTTAAAAAGTCTCATACTTTTTAAAATAGATTCTGTGAAACTTGATTGATAACTGAAGGTTAAACTTAATAGTAATGTTTGGGCTTTTGCATGTTAGGTGACCATCCCCGTCAGGACAGCATGGATTTCAGTAATGAATGGGGAGATCCAGCAAGCTGTAGATGTGGAGATAGACTAAAGCCTCTTGAACGTAGAGCAGCACGTCAACATCAGCGCTGTCTAGCACATTCACTTGTTGGGACACCAAATTACATTGCACCAGAAGTATTATTACGGACAGGTAAACCTTTCCTTTTTTCCTATAGCTGGGATTGCTAAATTGATGGGTAGTTTTTGAAAATTGCTCCTGAAAACAATCTAACTACAAGGAAGTTCAACTATGCTGCAGGTCTGTTGCCAATAACTCTTAATAATGCTGAGCACAAAAATTATAAATTAAATTAATTTGTAAGAAACAAAACATAATATATTAATATGTAACAAGTGCAGTTGTAAGGCCTAAAAGTCAGATGTGCTAGATCAGGGGTGTCAAATTTACCGCGTCACATCTGGCCCACAGGCCGCCAGTTTGACACCCTTGTGCTAGATGTTTGGGAAATACTGTACTGTACTAGTACTTTATCAGAAATAAATTTAGAATTACTATTGTTCTGTGTAATTACTGGGTTTTCTTTTGCTTCAGGATATACACAGCTATGTGACTGGTGGAGTGTTGGAGTGATTCTTTTTGAAATGCTAGTAGGTCAACCTCCCTTCTTAGCACAAACACCATTGGAAACGCAAATGAAGGTATTTGGAGAAAAAAATACCAGTTGCCTCTGTGTATAAGTAATGTGTAGAAACCAGATAAGCTTTGGTCTGCATTTAACTTAGAGCAATGTATATGTAATATGTTTTCCCTATATTTTAAAATGCTTATACACAATTTTAGTTGTAACTAGAAATTGTAGTTTGATACTATTTCTTCCCAAAATTTTAATAGAGTGGGCTACCAGCCTACTTTGTTTTCTTTTTATAGAACTGTGAAATTATTCTAATATAAAAATGTGAAATCCTAATCAAAGAGAGGAGATAATATGTTTTCACTATAAGGCCTCCTAGTAGACTAGTAGGTTGTCTTGTTTCATCTGCAGGACATGTTTTTATTGATTTCTTTATGTATTTTGTCGCTTTTTTGAAATAGAAGTCATAGAAAATGAAGAATAGTGTAGTGATGGTTTGCTCCAGTTTTTCTTTTTTAATTGTAATTTTATTAAAAATTACTATTGGAAAAATTAAAACTAATACAAACTAAAAACGAAAAGAAAAAGAGCAACAGAAAATGCAGGAAAAAGTAGAAAAAATAGAACAGAAATAAAAATAATATAGTAAAGAAAAAGAAAAGATGTCCCAATTCATCACAATTTTAGTAATTTATTTTCATTCTCTTAAAATACAAGAAATAATCTCATCTTCTGATGTTCCATCTCTTCCCTATAAACGAATCCTTAAAGTCTTGTCATTTCAGACCTGATCAGCATTAAGAATTATCAGAGATTAAAAAAAAAACATTTTATTAAATAAATCAATTTTATATTCTTTCCTTTTATTTTTAACTATCTTGATATTTAGGTAATCCCTTCAAATAATGTCCTAGAATTTTATTTCTTTTTAATTTCTTTGGTCCTTCTCACAAAATTCTTCAAAATATAGCACGCCTCTTTTGCAAATCCAATATAGGAAAATTATCCAGTTCAGTATCTTAGTTTGTTATTGTACATCCTTTTTAAGACATCAAATGATTTCTTTCTTATGTCCAGTATAGCATCTTTTTCCATTCTTGGAGCCTATCATTTTTAAATTCGCTTTCAAATCAGTCTGAAAGCCGTCAGGTAAAACTTGTTCCTCTTCCACAACATCTAGGTACACTTGAAATTGACTTTTAGGTCCATTGTTCAAAAATATTCTTCAATATCTCCAGTGCTAAAATATTTTATTTCATTCTATATTAGTTAGTTAAATTTGAGTGCTCTTCTCCTTTAATTCTAACTTTTTGTTCCTTCTATCTAGTGTACAATCTTCAAAGTCCCACCCTACCATATTTTTTGTAAACGAAGCATTTTCCTACAGGAAAGACTCCTACAATTTATTGAAAAATCTTATTTCAAATTCATTTGGATTCTTAGTCAATTTGTAATTTTCAAAATCAAAAGTTCTAATTTTTGCTGTTTATGTCTTTCTGTGAGAATTGAATTAAACTCACTTGGTGTTTTCAGATTTGTGGATCCAAAGTTTCCTAATAGATAAAAATCATAGTTTACAAGTATTATGGCAGTTAAGAAGCCATTTCTGATACTGATAAGAAATGTAAATCGAGTGTCCCTGAGCACCAAACGTGGTTTGAGTAAGATGTCTATTCCTTTGTTTCACATAGACTGCTGTCTTGTAGACTCCTCATGAGGAACAACTGTCTGGAATACTTGTCGGCAATTTTAAGTCCTCTCCTGGTCTGGAGAGGAATTGGAGCTGGTTTACTTGCTTACTTTTCATTCTATCACAGATGTTGGCTCCATTCTGCAGTTTGCAATTTCTTCCCCAGAAATCATTTTGCTCCAGTCTTTCAGTGAAAGCCTGAATTAGAATTTTAAAACACAGTGAAGATAGAACAAAAATGTTTAATGTATACAGTTAATAATAATGGATTTCTATTATACAGAGTTCACTAAAATTGAAATATTTTTATTTTACATTTAATTATGAAGCAAAGCAGATCCTCAAAGGTGACAAAATAATCCTGTTCTTCTATGAAAATATTTACACATACTAACTTAGATTTTGCCTTCCACTAGGTATTAATCCAGAGTCATCTGTAGGAGGAGTCAAAAAAGCCAAGATGGCAATTATGCAATCAATGGCCCACCCCTTTTTTACATGCATCACAAACACAACACAAAAAAGGGGCAGGACCACCATCTTGACTTTTTGACTCCCCATGCAAACTGCCCCAGCATAAATCTTTGCTGTGATGCAAGTTTTTAGGCTCTCCCTGAACAGGGCAGTAGTAGTTCAGAAATATTTGCTTTTAGTTTTTTGAATGTGTTAGTTCCTGAAGAAAAATGTGTACGAGTGTGTGTTTAATTTGAAACTTTAACTTTGTGTTTAAATAAAGGTTATCAATTGGAAAACATCACTGCACATACCACTGCAAGCAAAACTAACTCCAGAGGCATCAGATCTTATTATTAAGCTCTGCCGAGGACCAGATGATCGCTTAGGCAAGAATGGTGCGGATGAAATAAAAGCACACCCATTTTTTAAATCTATTGATTTTTCAAGTGACCTACGGCAGCAACCTGCTTTTTATATTCCTAAAATTACACATCCCACTGATACATCAAATTTTGATCCAATTGATCCAGATAAATTATGGAGTGAAGATAAAGAAGGGAATGTAAATGACACACTTAATGGGTGGTATAAAAACGGTAAACATCCTGAGCATGCTTTTTATGAATTCACGTTTCGAAGGTTTTTTGATGACAATGGGTATCCATATAGCTATCCAAAGCCTATTGAATATGAATACACTAATTCTTGTAGATTAGAATCGCAGTCTGATGAAGATGATGAGAGGACCAATAGAGAGGTCCAAAATCGTGATCTAGTTTACATTTAACAGAGAAGATAAACCGTGTTTCTGAATTTTTCAAATCATGTGGGGGGAAAAACCTGAGATACTATTAGAAAGCTGACTTTGTACCCTCTTGGATTGGAAAATGCTAATTCCCATTTTTTTCACATTAATTTTTTTCTCATAAATAGCCCTTTTTCATCTTTAATTTATTCCATCATTGTTAGTGCTTAATATAGAAAATAATAATATTAGGAAAAATAAATTATAAATTTAAGCTTTTTGTAAACAGAATATAGTGATTTCTTTTAGGAAATGAGATGCCTATTTTTTTATAAACCACAACCATTACTTTCTTCCAGAATTTTGCAGTCATTGCCTGTCTTGCATTAGCTAATTCTTAGTAAACTCACAGACACTTTGTCTAGTTAGCCATATTATCAAATACAATATATATAAAGCAAAGTATAAGATCATTAGTTATTATGAGCTCTGGCTGTAGAACAAGGCTGCAATCTAACATTCATGAAATGACTAAATCCATTGAAAATAGTATCTTCATTATATATAAAAAAGATTGCACTTCAAACTGTCTGTATCCTTACAATAAACAAAATTTGTATCAGATTATAATTATTTTGACTTTGCATAACAGATTGTAATTGGTGATCCTATGCAGCAACTCAAAATGTCAGCTGCTTTAGATAGCTAACAGAAACTGTTTATCACAAAATTAATGTTAAAATTTTGATTTTAGTTTTTTGCAATTCGGCAAATGTTGACAAAATTTAAAATGTTTGAACCCCCATGATATCTAATTGCAAAATCTGTTTTAATAACTATTTTACACGGCCTAGTATTCCCAAGTTACTAGGTTGGAATAATTCCGGTCCATGCTTAACAGGGATTAAATATAATTTACACCATTGTTTTATTCTGAATCAACACCCTGAAATTAAAGAAAAAAGCTGCATCTTTTGCCATTGCAGCTTTTTTTCCTTCTACTGGCAATACTCTGCTTTTTTAAAATATTCTGCTTTTTTATCTACAGATATATAGCATAGCACTGTGTAAATATTTCAAGCTCCCTGTGCTAGTACTGTATTCCTGTATCTGAAGAATCTCCAAGCACATTTTGTGCTTTCTAATGTCATACATTAAAATATGTATGTACTGAGTCTTTTTTTAAAAAAAAATTAGAAAATAAATCTTTTTTTCCAGCCAGTTATTTATTGTTTATTATATTTATGGTTATTATTTCATTTAAAAGAAGTGTGGCTTACAAGTAACTTCTCAATAAGTTTTTATCTGGCCTGTTTTTCAGGCCAAACACATTTAGTTTCAGCAATAGAAGTACAACTTGTCCCTTTGCAGCAATGCCTGTTACTTACCTTTGATTCTCTTTTGAGCAGATATATTAAAACATCAGTAGAGTTTAGACAAATGGAAAATGCCTATCTTCTAAAAATGTTTTCCAACATATCTACTGCTTCAATTCTGATCCACACTTCAGCTTTGTACTTCTTACATGAGTGAGCATAATAAACACGTTATGTACCTTTTTTCAATTAGTATACTCAGCCCTCCTATTCACACACCATTCTGCAGACAATCACATAATCCTGCTCCAAGCTACCACCAAAACAATAGGTTCTATATATGGAGCCAGAGTGCAGACAATGCAGTGTACAGTTATAATTTTTGAGATTCGTTTGCTTTGTAAAATAATTCATAGTATAAAGAGAATTGACCATGGTTTAATATTTAGGATTTCCAGTTAAACTGGCAAATTATTATTATATTTGTCTTTCAATGAAATATAATATATTTCTGGTTTATCTGGTTAAAACCAGATAAATCTAATCTGCTATTGGAAAACTGCTTTGTAAATTTGAAAACAGAATTTTCATTGATTAACTTATTGAATACAATCAAAAGTTAAGCATATACTATACTGAAATTGATAGATATTTAACTACACAGATAAACATCAAAGACACATTCATTTTCATTGGAAATTGAGGAAAAGTGATCTTTCAGATATGTTGCTATTTTCAGCTAAGGAGTAATAGCACAATGTTTGTGTATTTTACATTAATTGTTTTAATTAAGCTTGTTAGTATTTGTATGCTGAAAAATACATGTATTCTAATGTATTCTAATGATTTGGAACATATAACAATAAAATTCTGCCTTACAGGCCATCCCATCCCAATGAAGGAGTGTTAAATTAGGACAGCTAAAATTCATATCCTGAAAAACTTCATGTAATATGTTGATGTGAATTTAATGTATTGCAAACCTTTTTTGGAATAATTCTTTTTCACTGAATGTAAAAACTATTGTATTCTAACATATCTATAAATTGTTTTGGAAAACAAATATTCTCTATGAATTGTGACATCACAATTCTTGCCTATGACAATTCATTTTGTGTATTTCTAGGATTTCTCACGTGCAGGATTTCTTACACTTTGTTTTAGAGTTATCTCTAGTATGAATCCAGGGTATATTGTAGTGTGTCTTGCCACATTTATCTTTGCATATATTTCAGTTGTTCTGGCTTTTTTCACATTTCAGTTTTTCAGTATGTCCAAATTCATTTTTGCATTTGAATTCAACAAAACACAAATAATAGCTCCACATTTTGGTTTTGAATAAAATGTCTTCAATTAAACATAAAATGTCAATGCTTTGCTTTTTTACATATATACATAAGCACTGTATTTATAAAATATTCTATTATATTGTACTGTAAATATTGGCATACTGTTCTCTTACATTCCATCTTAGAGCAGGCCCTTTTTCTGGAGCTATTCTACCATATTTGTAGCAGAAGCAGTAGAACATATAATTAAAGTTAATTTGAAACTTAAAAGCAAATCTGCATTTCCAGTGTGCAAAGCTGTGATGGAAAATATGTTCTTGGGACATTGTTGATACATCTAGATTCTAGAAAATGCAATGTGAGTGGAATAATAGATACTGCTGTTATCCCAAAGTACTATTAAATTCTCTCTGCAATATATGTTTTTTGAAATGAAACATTTGTTGTAACATATTTGAATCTAATAGTAAATAGAGTGCCTTGCTCTAAAAGGTGCTGTTCAAAATTAACTTTTATATTGCATTTTTATGTATGCTTTTTATACTATAAATACTCCGCTGATAAAATTTTTATTTTTAGAAAAGTAGTGTCTTGACATCCTGTATACATACATCAACTTTGCAAATTTCTGCTTGTAATACCTGATAGTAGATTAAATTTCTGGAGTGTTGTACAGATATATTTATGTTTTGAAATCAGTTTTATTTAGTGTACTATACGTTAGGATAATAAAGTTTAAATTCAGTGACTTAAGTTGACATAATTTGTAATGTTGAAAAATATGATTGCTTGATTTTCTGTAATGGGGAATACAAAATTCCTATTAATTTCATGGTATGTTATTTTTTCATTATTGCCTGACTCATTCATATTTTCTAATTACATTTAGAGGAAATTCACAAGGTGATATAAACAACTCAATTATCTCAGAAAAATAGAATAGTGTAGTAACGGATTTAATTTTAATGGAGTTTCCATTCAAAAATGGTTTTAGTTGGCAGTTTTATGATCATATTTACCATAAACGAGTACAGTATTTCTGTAGAGAAATATAAATTATAGCATATAAATACTTCAGACTGAAAATAAAATCCTAAGATTTTTATTTATTTATTTTTTGGCAGTTGAGTGGCAAAATTTAGGCATAATAAACCATGGTCTCGTTTACATGAACAGGCCTCAACAATATTGGCTCCTTCATCTGCAATCAAGGAATTTTCATCTTTTTTTCCTAAAAGTTAACTAAATTTGGATACAGCTAAACTTTGGATAAAGACAGATTTCTGGTATTAATAGAAATGTTCTTTATAATCTCTGTAGAGTATACATATATGATTTGCACATAAGTACAGATTAAACAATAGCAGTCTGCCCCTCTATCTTCACCATATATGTAAAAATGTCATGATTGCTGCTTAAATGACTTTTCAGCTACTGTAATTGAACTCAGCAAGGTAAGAATTTTGATCCTATTTTCTTTGTACTGCCTTGATTTATCTTGCTTTTATTCCGTTTACAATCTCAAAAATAGCTGTTTCGTTTAACTGCTCGGATTCTACAAATAAAAGCCTGACATGTTTCTCTAAGAAGGGTAGCACTCTCACCAAAAGTCATTCATTTATTTCGCAGTCTTCTCATTCTTTACTACAGCCAGACATGATAGGGCATAATAGGATGACTTTTTTTTTTCATATGAATCTCAATTTCCTGTTTCAATCCTGAAGTTGCTTTAGTTTGTATTTACAGTGTTAACAGTTACAAATTTAATAGGTTCAAGTAACTGTTATGTAGGTCTGACACACTATATGTCTGCAGTGAAGAACATGTTCTTAAGAATTTTCTTAAATTCAGTGCAAGAAAAGAAAGGAGACTCTCCCAATTTCTACTATGAATCTACCCGCTGCTGGCTAACCAACTATAATGGTACCAGTTATCACTTCCTCTTACATTAATATTCTTAATGTTGAGTTGTGCCAGAATTTCATAAATATTTTATTTAACAAATGTTATATAGGCAGAAATTACAGACAATTGATAGTGCCCTTATTAATTGACCACCATAAGCTCTTAAATGCAGATTTTGTTTAGGTATTTCTGATTTAGGTTACAACTATTTTCTCCTCAGAACAGAGACTACAAAAATGAAAGTGGTTTGGTCTTTTGGGGCACAGCCTTTTGACCACTGTTTTGATAAAGCAAATAGGTTAAATAGCAAATATATTTTGATATAAAAGACCGTCTATGTCTGCAGCTTATGCTTACTGAAATCCTGTATAAAATGCAACTCTTATTAGATCACTATTCTGCCACAGATGCAGGTTTTTTTTCTATTTTAATGTTTTTTCTTCATCTCTTTATTAATTGCTTCTCATTATTTTTGAACTGTTCTTTGAACATTTTAAAAAACAAAGTAAACCTGGAAAACATGTATGTACATCTGAATATTTTGAATCCGTGCACTTGATAATGGCCATTTGGAATATCACTAGTTTTACCCCATGGAATTGGCAGTTAGGTTCATTCAACATACCACAGTGAAATATGGCTGATTATCCCTCAGTATGTTGTGTAAACCCAAACACTATGGTAATTTTGGCATGGTCTTGTGTGCAAAGCCAGACAATTTAATAAATAGGTAAATAAACAAGTACTCAATTTTTTAAAAAAAGGTTGAGCTAGTGATGAGTTACCTACTTTCAACATAGCTTATGACTGAATGACAATCACAATATAAGCAATCACATTTAGCCTAGAATGTTCTGCAAGCTGTGCCCCTGTGATTTATGATTCATTGTGTGTAGCCAGCAAATGAGATTGGGTAAAATAATTATATACTGCCCAACTCCCAGCAACTGGTTAATTCCCAGGAATACTGGAATACATAGAGTCCATGTAAAATTGATTATGGAAAAATACATGGATAAAAATACCCGACTTGCTCAACAGAATTTGAATATAACTTCCTCTGGCTCTCTTTAATTATATACTGTCCTTTGTTGTGTTGCATTAAGCTCTTAAAATATAACACCTTATTGTTCCTGTATAAAGGATTCTATTTCAATCAAAAGAATTTTCCGAGTCCCTATTCCAAGCCAGGATACTTGGTTGTGCTATTGTCAGTTGATAGTGTTGGAAGAAACATCCTTCTAGGTTCTGCTCCAAGTGGGGAAAAAGACACTGGAAACATGGAGAATGCTTGGAAAGATGGTTTAATGGTGGACAGGATCACATAGCTTGAGTTCCCTGAACAGAAAAGGGCAGATACAGCAAATCCTTGGGTTTTTATGCTCTCTCTGGCTTTGAATTTCCTGGGGCCCAGAAAGAGTATCCTGACTGGTTGTCAAGACTCCCAGGGGGTGGGGGTCTTAGCTAGCCTTGCTGGCTGATGTAATCTTCCCAGGTGCCATGTGGTGAGTTTCCTCCTAGATGGGTCCCATTGTCTTGCAGATGAGATCCATTGGCAAAGATTGAGTTTCTGCCTCTGGCCCATTAACAAAGGGTGGAGGGCAGGAAGGTGGGAGCTGTAAAACATGCTTCTCCATTTTTCATACAGGGAAACATAATATTCTGCCTTTTTAATATTTCCCAAAATATTTCATTCTCCTACGAAAGGGGTGTGTGCTAACCTCCTACAATAGCATAGCAGAGGTGCAGGTTAGCTATTTATTGTTTCAATGTATTTTCCTAGTTTCCCGTCTGTGAATCATGGATTTGTGTTAATGGTTAAGGGATAGCTGAGACAGTGAGAAAAAGTTAATTTGGAATAATAGTAATTTGGAATAAAGAAAAAAATCGAATCATTATTATTGTAAAATAAAATACTGTCCACAAATCCAAAACTGGATAAATCTCATTCCAAATCAATTGGATAGAAAGCGTGGGCCCCATTTTACTGTCCTCTGAGTCCACTTGGTTTTACCAAAGATACGATGTGTGTTATCTCTTCCTCCTCCCCATCACCGCGATCTGGTTTTGCACGTCCGCATCCCTAGTTCCAGGGTTAGCGGGCAGGCAGCACACTTAACGTGCACACTCGGATTTCCGTGGTCTATTCTCATTTCTTGGTTTCAGTAAAGATCCGCAGAGGGAGTGAGAGGTTAACGGAAGAGAAGCGGGCGATAAGTTTCAGCGAGGAAGCATCTCTTGCCATTTTTCTTTTCCCTGGGACGCTGTGGGAGAACTTGCGAAGGGCACCGCTTTGCATCCCGGCCGCCGTCAACTCGCTCGCGCCGGGCAAATCGGCGGCAATACCCGTCACCGAGGCAACGCGGGAGCTCCTCCTCCTCCTCCTCCTCCTCCGCTCTCCCGTTAGCCTTCGGGGCCAGTTCTCGCGAGGCTTGCCAACTGGAGGGGCCGCCATATTGTGTGACACTATTTTGATTTGGACTTGGCTGGCTGAGACACGCAGCGAGCGGAGGAGGAGGAGGAGGAGGAGGGACGGGAGCGACTGGGAAGCCGGAGCGGTTCCAGGCGAGGTCGGGAGAGGCGGCGTCGGCAGCGCCTGGAAACACCTCCCCCCCCCCGCTTTGCCCGCCACAGCAGCAGCAGCCCCGGCACGAATCCCTCCCCCTTGCTCCTTCCCACGGTGGCGGCGGGAGGAGGCGACGGCGACGGCTCCGGAGTGGCTCGGAAGGGTCGCCTGTCCGGTTGGAGGCGGCGGTGGCGGCGAGTGCCGCTGGTGCAGAGGACGAAGGAGGAGCCCGCGCGGAGGAAGGGTGAGCGAAGTCGGCTCTGGTGGGGCTCTGGCGGCCGCTCTCCCGAAGGGGCTGTCCGCGGGGTCCCCGCTGCCTGTCTGGGCCCGGCTGGCCGCGGTGCCCGGGAGCAGGAGGGGCGGAGTGGGGGGGGGGCATGTGCAGGCAGGGCCGGGCGGCGGTGGCCCCGCTGGGGAGAGGAGGAGCCGGGCTGAGCTTCCGCGGTCTGCCGGAGAGCTGCGCCGTTCGGTCCGAGGGCTGGGAAAAGCTCTTGCCCATCCGCCGACCCGACTCCTCCTCGGAGCCCCCTTCGGAGGCGTCCCGGGAGGCCTTTATTAATCCCATGTTTGGCTATGGGACTAATTACCCTGGTTTTAGATTAGAGGAGATGAATCGAGGCTTATTCCTTCCTTCGCGTTTCTTTTTCGGAATATTGCAACAAGGAATAAGCCTCGATTCATCTCCTCTAATCTAAAACCAGGGTAATTAGTCCCATAGCCAAACATGGGATTAATAAATGCCCTGACAAGTTTCCTCTTGGGCGTCGGATCTGCTTGTCTCTGTGCTTCTCCTTCTCCCTGAAGAAGAAAAAAAAAGAAGAGAGTCCCGCTCTTGATTCCCAACTGTCCCAGTTTAATGGATGTAGGAAATTTGGACTGATTGTATTTATACGTTTAGGTGTGTTTCGTTCTGCTTTAAGAAATATTTAGGCTATCTAGGGTGCTTATGATAAATACTAAAAATGTGTCATTTTTAAGATTCAAACATAGCATGAGCAAAAACTCATTTTTAAAGGGAGATAAAGGAATATTTTATTTGTTAGATTGATATCCTGCATATATTTTTTTTAAAGGGGCTGGTGTTGATGCACATAGCACTCAGTCATCACATTCTTTTCCCCCATATCAACCCCTCTGGGATAGGTTGAGGTAGGAAAAGAGAATGACTGGTGAGCTTCCTTGGCTGAGGGGGGGAATTGAAGCAGGGTCTTCCCATTGTTAGTCTCTTCAGCTTAATCACTATAAGATAGTGTCTGTTCAGATCTGTGGTCTAAAAGCTCTACCAAACAAAATAAAGCTTTCAGATGCTGGGATGAGCAGAAAGGCAGGTTATTGAAGTAGGAAATTCCAAAATTT